AGAGATCACAAGTAGGCAGAGGCAGGCAGAGAGAGGGAAGCAGGCTCCCTGCTGAGCAGAGAGCCCGATGTGGGGCTCCATCCCAGGAGCCTGGGATCATGACCTGAGCTGAAGACAGAGGCTTTAACCCACTGAGACACCCAGGCACCCCCAAAATATGTTATTTCAAAAATTCAGCTATTTGTGAAGCCTGGGTGGCTGGGTCGGTTGGGTGGCCCACTCTTGATTTCGACTTGGGTCACGATCTTGGGGTCCTGAGGTTGAGCCCTGCATCGGGCTCCGTGCTCCGTCCTTGGGATTTTCTCTCCCTCTCCTTCTGCCCCTCCCCCCCACTCAAAAAAAATCATTTATTTTATGAGCTTTATTTAAACAATTCTTGCTGCATTTTCTTTTTTTTTTTTAAAGATTTATTTATTTATTTGACAGAGATCACAAGTAGGCAGAGAGGCAGGCAGAGAGAGAGGAAGGGAAGCAGACTCCCTGCTGAGCAGAGAGCCTGACGAGGGGCTCCATCCCAGGACCCTGGGATCATGACCTGAGCCGAAGACAGAGGCTTTAACCCACTGAGCCACCCAGGCGCTCCTCTTGCTGCATTTTCAAAGCCATTTGATGAGATTCAGAAGAATCTCTTTAAGTGCCAGAGCTTTGTTATATGAAGAATTGTTCCTACAATTCTTCCAACAATTTAATAGCTCTTCTGTGTTTTTGGTTATGCTTGTAGGTCCATCTCTTTTAATTCCTTTTATAAATTTTCCAGTTTAATATATCCTGATTAACAATGGCTTTTTCTAATCCTATCAGCGTATTCGGTCTTGTGAATATAAAATTAGATTTAAATACAGTTAAGCCTCCATAAAGTTATCTTGCCTGATACATAACATTTGTGGTAAATATTGTGCAGCATGGAGTATTAGTGCTCTAAGGAAATAGACGATCAATTCCATGCCAGACTTAATTGCCTAAAAAGAATTGTTATATTCACAAGAATTCACAAGAATTGGGGTGCTGGGTTGTTATCAAATAATAGCCTAGATTTCATAAAATACAGTCTTATCATGGAGAGGTAGAGTTCCTAATTTATCACAGTTAATTTGTCGCTGAAAAATTATGCACCACATTAAATATGCCAAAATAGAATAAGAATATTGACTGATATCTTGTCATGCCAGATATAAGTAAATACAATCAAAATAAGACTTCTTGGGATGCCTGGGTGGCTCAGTTGGTTAAGCAGCTGCCTTTGGCTCAGGTCATGATCCCAGCGTCCTGAGATGGAGACCCACATTGGGCTCCTGCTTGGCAGGGAGCCTGCTTCTCCCTCTGCCTCTGCCTGCCACTCTGTCTGCCTGTGCTCGCTCGCACTCTCTCTCTCTCTCTCTCTCTGACAAATTAAAAACAAAAATCTAAAATAAATAAAAATTTTAAAAAAATAAGACTTCTTCATTAACACTCAAAGCACACTTAAAATATTGAGCTGAGAACTTTGATCTTTTTCTTGGTCATGTTCAAGGTGGATGCTTAACTGACTGAGCCACCCAGGTGCCCTATGGGCTTATTCTAAAGTACCTCCTTTTGGTACTCACAAAAGGGATGTGTGTGTTCCAGATATGTCTTAGTGGAAAAGCAAACTAGATTTCAGAATTATCAGGGAGAGAAAGGCCAATGATAGTCCCTGGGTGTCTGGCCTAGGGAACTAGGTGGGCAGTGGGGGGCCATTCACCAAGAAGGAGGACAGTTAGAGGAACTTAATTATGGGACTAGGAATGGCTCATTTTAGGCATGCCTGCAATTAACTAATTTTGAGTGGTAACATAATGTTAAATTTTCCTTTCTGATTCTAGATATTCCGTGTGCTGGAAACACTGCTAGGTGTACCTTCACATTTAAATGTTCAGGATAACTCCATGGGGTACTACTATGAGCTACAAACTGAAGCTTAGTGGGGCTCGGCTATCTTCATCTAGCTAGTGACAGAGTCCAGACCTGGATAAAGCTACCATTTTAAACGTGGAAGATAAGGTACAAGAAATCTTAGCTGACAGCCTGTTTCTGGCTTGAGAGATCAGGCAGACTATTTTTAAACTTTAAATATATCGTTGCACAAGATGTATTAGAAATATGGAAGGAAAAGAGGATTTTTATTTATTTTATTTTTTTTAAAGATTTAATTTATTTATTTGAGAGAGAGACAGTGAGAGAGAGCATGAGCGAGGAGGTCAGAGGGAGAAGCAGACTCCCATGAAGCTGGGAGCCCGATGCGGGACTCGATCCCGGGACTCCGGGATCATGACCTGAGCCGAAGGCAGTCGTCCAACCAACTGAGCCACCCAGGCGTCCCGAAAAGAGGATTTTTAGAGCTATATGGAAGAGAAAGTGGCATTATAAATCTGGTTGTAGACATTACACCCGAGATGTCTGGGGGATTTCTAGGTGGAGTAATAAAGCAAGCTGTTGCATCATTTTTTAAAAAAAGATTTATTTATTTACTTGAGAGAGAGAATGAATGAGAAAGAGACAGAGAGAGAGAGAGAGAGAGAGAGAGAGAGAGAATGAGAGGGGGAAGGTCAGAGGGAGAAGCAGACTCCCTGCTCAGCAGGGAGCCGGATACTGGACTAGATCCAGGGACTCCAGGACCATGACCTGAACTGAAGGCAGGCGCTTAATGACTGAGCCACCCACGTACCCACTGCCTTTCTTTTTCTTTTTAAAGGAGTGAAAATCTTTTCTCAAACTGTGATATATTTTAGAGATTCATACTGAAATATTTATGGGTGAAATGATGTAGCTGTGTTTTATTTCAAAACTGACATGAGGGTGGGGAGTGGGTGGGAATACAGATAAAAAGAGACTGGCCATTAGCTGATGATTACTGAAGCTGGTGATGGGGGGGCATGAAGGTATATAAGAAGATTCTGTGTGAACAGGAAGTTTCAAAACTATGTATACATTTTGATCTAGCGCTTCCACCTTTAGGAATTTATCTTAAAGAGATATCACACATATACAAAAATAATTTATGTGCAAGGATATTTATTATAGGATTGTTTGAAAGCAAAGAATAATGAAAAAAACTAAATTGACAGGATAAATGATGGAATACATACACTATGCAGCTGGTAAGGAAGAATAAGGCAACTATATATGTATTGATATGATCCAATTTCAGGTGTATGGATAAACAAAAATAGCAAGTATGGAAAGTTGCTACCATTTATGTAAAAATCTTACAAAAAGTGTTATGTGCATGTTTACACGTAGGCAAACATAAAAATCAGGAAGTATATACAAGAACTTGATACCGTGATAGGTTACGCAGAGAGAGCGGGAAGGGGCATCAGTGGTGTGGAGTCTGACTTATGTCTGTGTACCAAATCGTAACTTTAAAATATTTATCCTGTGCATGTGTTTTAACTCTGAAACCACTTAAAAATGACACATAGAATACTACTTTCTAACCCTGTTTAGGCAGTGACACATGTAGAAAATACAGGTGCCTTGTGAACACTCAGGATGACTGAGAAGATGGATGGCTTCAGGACACAACAGGCCCGCTGCCCCAGACACTGCCTGGGCCGAGGGCATGCTTCTGGAGATTCCCCAGATTCGTTCACAAACTCTGATCCAGAGATCACTGGGATTGGATCAGGGTTCTTTCCCCCATTATAGTCATCTGGAGTGATATAAAAATTGATGACATAATTAACCCAGAACAGGTGAAATTCTAGATATTCCATTTAGAATGAGCTGCTAACTTTGAAAAGACTGGATTCAATTAGCAGGGATTTTATTTGTATTTATTCTCACCAATGATAATCATCTACAGTTTGTTTCTTAGGAGCCATCCTTGTTGAATTTTCTTAAATCATAATTTTATTTAGCCTTGAAAATAAACTGGCAAGTTTCTCTCAGCTTTTCTTTGAAGGGGCACTTTTTATGTCCTTCTACAATCATTGATTTATTCGGGTAGTCTATATCTTCGTGAACTTGGATTTTTTCAAAAAAATCTACCTTTAAATTTTCAAATACATTAAAATCATGCATAGTAGCTATTTAAAAGGAATATTTATATTCCTTCCCTATTCATAATAAGTTTTTTTTCTAGATCAGGGTTATTAATTGTTGGTTTTCTATTTTAGATAAATAACCTTCATATTAAGTCTACTGTTGTTTTCTATTTTATAGTGGTCATTCTTACTGTGATTTGGGTTTATGTGGTTATTTCCCTCTAATTTTTAGAGTTGACCATTGATTCAATGTGCTTAGTATGTAACTGGCAACGAGTAGGTGCTAGAGATCCACGTTTGGAGAACAAAGCCCCTACCTTCGATCCTTGGGTTGACAGGAACACAGCTTTGGCTACACTGAACTGGTTTTGGTTTGTAGAATTTTCTGATTGCTTTCGAAGTTATACTTGAAGGTGGCTTGAGATGTCTAAGTGGGCAGATTTCTTTTGGCCACTCTTCTGTTAATTTCTAATCTTGTGACTTTCTAGCTTTAAATATCATGAAGACCTCATGATAATTATACTTGATTACAGTTTTCTAGAATGAATTATCATAATAGGTGGTTATGAAGGCTTTTTGATATTTGACACATTCATAAGGTCCTCCTCTCACAGGAAATCCTTAACACTAATACCATTATTAATTAATAATGTAACTAATATTTGTTGAACACAGGCTTTATATAAAATATCTGATAGTCCTCAGGAAATCTCTATTAGGGCTATAATGATCACTGCTTAAAAATAAGTAAAGTGAGGAACTGGAAGACTGCGTTATTTGTCCAATGCTCTACAGTTGGTAACTGGTGGAGCTGAGATAATGTTAAGTAAGATGTATGTCATGGTAAAAGGCACATTCACAAAATATCTTAATAAGGTCATTTTCTATTAGGAATTCTCAGAGGTTTAACGCATTTTGAGTGGTAATAGAAAGGTTTTCTATATTCATATTAATATTTTTTTCAGCGAAGTTTTCTGATGCTTGGTAAGCAGTGAGTGTGAGGCAAAAAGAATTCCCACGTTTATTGAATTTTCTTCTGCTATGAGTTATCCCATGTTCCGTAGTGGAAGTGACAAGTGAAGGTTTTCACATTAATTACATTACATACACATCATCTAATACTGAGTCAGGTGTGAACTCCACGTAAAGGCTCCTACACCCCTAACATTCCAGGCTTTCTAACCAGTGTGGATTCTGTAGTGTTCGATGAGCTGTGAGCCAAGAATAAAGGCCTGTCCACATTCTCTACATTCATAAGGTTTGATCCCAGGATGAATTCTCTGATGTTCCGTAAGTTGTGAACTACGAATAAAGGCCATTCCACACTCCCTACATTGGTAGGGTTTCTCACAAGTATGAATTCGCTGATGATGAGTCAGTTGTGAAACACGAATAAAGGCTTTCCCACATTCCTTACATTCATAGGGTTTGTCACCTGTATGAATTCTCTGATGCTGAATAAGGTATGAACTACGACTAAATGCCTTCCCACAGTCCTTACATTCATAAGGTCTGTCACCAGTATGAACTCTCTGATGTCGTGTAAGCTGTGCGTGTTGTCTAAAGGCCTTCCCACATTCCTTACATTCGTAGGGTTTCTCCCCAGAATGAATTCTTTGATGTCGAGTAACTTCTGAGCTATGAATAAAGCCCTTCCCACATTCCTTACACTCATAGGGTTTCTCACCAGTGTGAATCCTCTGGTGGACAGTAAGCTGTGAATGCTGTCTAAACGCTTTCCCGCATTCTTTACACTGATAGGGTCTAGCACCTGTATGAATTCTCCGATGAACAGTAAGTTGTGAGCCACGAATAAAAGCCTTCCCACAGTCTTTACATACATAGGGTTTCTCACCTGTGTGAGTTCTTTGATGCAGAATAAGTTGTGAATGCTGTCTGAAGGTCTTTCCACATTCTTTACATTCATAGGGTTTGACACCAGTATGAAGTCTTTGATGGAGAATGAGTTCCGAAGTACGGCCAAAGGCCTTCCCACAGTCCTTACAGTTGTAAGGTTTCTCACCTGTATGAATTCTCTGATGTTGAACAAGGTGTGAGGCACGACTAAAGGCCTTCCCACATTCCTTACATTCAAAGGGTTTTTCACCAGTATGTGTTTTCTGATGCTGAATAAGGTGTGAGCCACGGCTAAATGCTTTCCCACATTCACTACATTCAATCAGTTTCTCACCAGTCTCACTGTTCTGATGTAAAGTGAGGGAAGCACGATGCTCAAAAGTGGGCATGTTTTCATAACTGACTTTTACTTGCTTGAAATAGCATTCCTGAGTTACTTGGTGTCTTTCAAATTGGCCTTTGTATTTCCAGTCATCTCTGAAACTGGAGCCATCAAAATCATAGCATTTAAGGCTTTCCATTATCTCCCAATTGAATGACTCTACTTCAGAAATATCTTTTCGTGGATATTTCTCACACCTGGACTCCAGCTCTGAAGAAGAAGAAAAAGAATACAAACAGTTTTATTCTTTAAAGAAAAATAAAACATTCTATAGCAGATCAGAGAGACAAAATGAAAATCACCTTAAAAACTGAATGACTGGGCACCTGGGTGGCTCAGTGGGTTAAGCCTCTGCCTTCAGCTCAGGTCATGATCTCAGGGTACTGGGATCGAGCCCCACATCGGGCTCTCTGCTCGGCAGGGAGCCTGCTCCCCCCCACCACCCCCACCTGCCGCTCTGCCCACTTGTGATCTCTGTCTGTCAAATAAATAAATAAAATCTTAAAAAAAAAAAAACCAACTGAATGACTTATATAAGTCTCAAATATTGCTGTGCAATTTCTGAAGGGCACATGAAAGCACAAATCTGATGAGAGCTCCCATCGTGCCAGAAGGGATTAAGAAAAGGAATTAAGCTGGGGTTTCTCCATTTTTATAAAGATTAGAATCATCCAGTAAGGGGCACCTGGGTGGCTCAGTCCCTAAGTGTCTGCTTCAGCTCAGGTCATGATATCAGGGTCCTGGGACTGAAGCCTGCATCAGGTTCCCTGCTTTGCAGGAAGCTTGCTTCTCCCTCTCCCACTCCCCCTGCTTCTGTTCCCTTTCTCGCAGTCTCTCGCTCTGTCAAATAAGTAAATAAAATCTTTAAATAAAAAAAAATCATCCAGCAAGCCTGTTAATATATAAATGTCTGAGACCACCCCAGACTGAATCAAAATTTACAGGAATAGAGAAAAGGTATATGTGTGCATATGCTTGCCTGTATGTACAAATCTATACATAAAAAGCACATGTATATATTTTAAAAATATGGTATAAGGTTTCTTTCTTTCTTCCTTTTTTTTTTTTTTTTTTTAAGATTTTAATTCATTTATTTGTCAGAGAGAGAGAAAGAAAACACAAGCAGGGGGAGTAGCAGGCAGAGGGAGAAGCAAGCTCTCTGCTGAGCAAGGAGCCCCATAAGGGATTCAATCCCGGGATCATGATCTGAACTATAAGGCAGCTATAAGGCAGCCGCTTAACCAACTGAGCCACCCAGGCGTCCATATATATATATATATATACATATATATATATTTTTTTTAAGATTTTTTTTTATTTACTTGATAGAGAGATCTCAAGTAGGCAGGCAGAGAGAGAGAGAGGGAAGCAGGCTTCCCGCCGAGCAGAGAGCCCGATGTGGGGCACAATCCCAGGATCCTGAGATCATGACCTGAGCTGAAGGCAGAGGCTTAACCCACTGAGCCACCCAGGCGACCCCCCTATATATATTTAAATTGAGGTAAGATTTACAAAACATAAATCCCCCCATTTTATTTTTTTTATTTATTATTTTTTTAAAGATTTTATTTATTTATTTGACAGACAGAGATCACAAGTAGGCAGAGACCACGCAGAGAGAGAGGAGGAAGCAGACACCCCGCTGAGCGAAGAGGCCTCCTGTGGGGCTTGATCCCAGGACCCTGATCCCAGGACCCTGAGATCACGACCTGAACCAAAGGCAGAGGCTTTAACCCACTGAGCCACCCAGGCGCCCCAATCCCCCCATTTTAAAGAGTACAATTCAATAGTTTGCCATACAATCCCAATGTCATGCAACTATTGCCACTATCTAGTTCCAGAACATTCTCATTACCCCAGATAGAAACCTTGTGCCCCTTAAGGAGTCCCTCACCATTTTGCATTCCCTCCAGCCCCTAGTAATCACTAATGGCACAGAACCATTAATTCTGTCTCTATGAATTTTCCAGTTTCTGGGCGCTTCATAGAAAAATAAAGGATCTATGTGGTTTTTGTTTTGTTTTCTTGTTTTTGTTTTTTCAAGATTTATTTATGTTAGAAAGAAAGAGAGAGAAGGAAAGTGGGGGAAGGGGCAGAGGGAAAGAATCTCAAAGTAGACTCCCCAATGAGTGCAGAGCCCGATGCGGGGCTGGATCTCATGACGCTGAGATCATGACCTGAGCCAAAACCAAGAGTTGGATTGAGCCACCCAGGTGCCCCTGCATCTATGTTTTTACCACTTTCCACAACATGATGCTCATGCCATCAAAATGAAAAATCCCTGCTTAAATTTTTCTATAGCCTTCTCAGTGCATTTCCAAAGTCACTGGAAAAATTCCAATAAATTCCAAAATCATTGCCATGGTTCACAGGCTCTTGGCAAAGCGAGTCCCTGCCCATCTTTGTCATTCTCAAGGATAATACATCTTCATATTGAACACTGTATGCTTTCCCCTCTAGGTTCCAAACCACAAGTTTTCTTAAATAAATGTATGTCTTTTCCATCTTAGACCTCTCATCAGGTTCTTCCATCTATCAAGAATCCTGTCCTGGGCTCTTTGTATGCTTTTCTCATCCTTCAAGTCTCAGATTAAAACTCACATTTTCTTTTTCTTTTCTTTTTTTTAAAGATTTTATTTATTTATTTGACAGACAGAGATCACAAGTAGGTAGAGAGGCAGGCAGAGAGAGAAGAGGAAGTAGACTCCCCACTGAGTGAAGAGGCCTCCTGCGGGGCTCGATCCCAGGACCCTGAGAGATCATGACCCGAGCCGAAGGCAGAGGCCTAACCCACTGAGCCACCCAAGCACCCTCTTTTCTTTTTTTTTAAGTAGGCTCCAGCATGGAGCCCAATGCAGAGCTCAAACTCAAAATCATGAGATCAAGAGTTGGACACTCAACCGAGCCACACAGGCGCACCAGAAATATAGCCTTACTAGCTATTGTAACCAACCCTAGCATATAATACATTTTAAATAATGGGTTGTTTGATGAATAAATATGGGATTCTAGAGACAGACCAATAGAACACAACAGAAAGGCCAGAAGAAAACTGAAGTTTATATGGAAATTGAATTTATTATAAAGGTGGTATTTCAAAGGGGAAAAGGATAGTTTTTGTAATAAATAATGGTGGGGCAACTGGATACTCATTTGGAAAAAGGTAAAAGCATATCCATATATTATACCACCATATACCAGAATAAACTCCGAATGTTTTAATGTTAAAAGAAAATAGAAACCATACAAACACTAGGAGGAAACATGGTGGATTACTTTTTAAGATGGGGAAACCTAACAATGAAACGATGACTCAAAATCCAAAAGCAACCAAAGCAGACTATGTAAAGGTGAAAAGCAAAAGAAAACAAAAAGCTTGCACATGAACAAAAAACAACAAAAGTAAAATCAAAAGACAAATGAGAGAGGAAAATACGTGAAATTTATATCACAGTTAATAGAATAATCTTCATGATTTATGAAAAGCTCTTAAAAGGCTGAGAAATGCTCTCAAAAAATTAAATATACAATTACCATCTGATCCAGCAATTCCACTCCTAGGTATATACCCCAAAGAAGGGAAGACAGGCCCTCAAATACTTGTACACCCTCAGTCATAGCAGCATTAATCACAATAGCCAAAAGGTGGAAAGAACCCAAGTGTCCACAACAGGTGAATGGATAAATAGAATATGGTATATACATACAATGGAATATCACTCATTTTTTAAAATTCTGGTAAGTGCTGTAACATGGATGAACTTTGAAAACATTATGCTAAATGAATTAAACCAGCTACAAAAGGCCATATAGTATATGACTCCACTTATACGAGGTACTTAGAATAGTCAAATTTATAGAGATAGGAAGTAGAATAGAGGTAATCGCAGACTGGGAGAAAGGGAAAATGAAGAGTTATCATTAAATGAATAGAGTTTCTATTTGGGATTATGAGTAAAATCTGGAAATGGGTAGTGGTGATGGCTGCACGACATTGTGAATGCAATTAATGCCATTGCATTATATACTTTAAAAATGGCCAAATAGTAAGTTATATGTGACACTTATTAAAAAACAAATAATAACCTAATTAAAAGCTCCCCCCACCCAAGAACTGGAAGCACTTAGAAAATACACCAACTTAGAAAAGAAAAAGAAAACACACCAACTAAATATCCTGTATGGAATAAACAGTAATGGGCTTCCTAGCAATAAAATATAGAATTCCAGTGGAGTTATACTATATACATTTTTTATTTATACACATTTAATGATCTGTTCAAAAAACATATATATCCAGGGATGCCTGGGTGGCTCAGTTGGTTAAGCGGCTGCCTTCAGCTCAGGTCATGATCCCAGCGTCCTGGGATTGAGTCCCACGTCGGGCTCCTTGCTCAGCAGGGAGCCTGCTTCTCCCTCTGCCTCTGCCTGCCTCTCTGTCTGCCTGTGCTCACTCTCTCTGACAAATAAATAAATAAAATCTTAAAAAAAAAAAAATATATATATATATATATATATCCATGGTGTACCTGGATGGTTCAGTTAAGTGTCTAACTCTTGATTTGGGCTCAGGTCATGATCTCAGGGTCGTGAGATCAAGCCCTGCACTGGGCTCTGCGATGGGCATGGAGTCTGCTTAAGATTCTCTCTCTTTCCCTCTGTCCCAGCCAGCACCCCACATTCATGCTTGTACTCTCTTTCTCTCTTTCTCAAAACAAACAAACAAAAAACCCATATACAACCACAGTGAAGGAAACAATCAACAGAACTAAAAGGCAACTTATGGAATGGGAAAGGATATTTGCAAAGGACATATCCAATAAAGGGTTAGTATCCAAAATCTATAAAGAACTGATACAACTCAATACCAAATAATCCAGTTAAAAATGGGCAGAAGACATGAAAATAT